CATACGTCTGATTGTATGTGAAGAACTGGGGAGGAATTTTATTCAAAAACTCTGTAGCTACATCATCCATCGTTTATATTGTCGACTGTGCTTGTCATGAGTTGCGACAGGAAAAGGGAGATAATAAACGGACTGGTAGCCTGTTAATATGCTGCTCTGGTTTTTTTGCTTGTACTGAATAAGTGCTGTTGGACTACAACCCAAATTCACACACATTGATGCGGAGCTTTATCGAAGCTTTAAAGTCACTTTTAATGTATCACAGAAACACTGAAACACCAGTGGATTCCTGTAATCTGCTTTGTAGTTGGTTGGTAAAGGTTTTGCTTTGTCATGGAGAGACTAGTCAGTTTTGTGACATGAGCATTGGAATGCAACAATGCCAACTGAAATGGCTTTTTCAAGTTTTTATCAGCTAAATATTTGGCTGGTAGCGCGATACGAGCAACCAGCACTGCGGACTGGCAACGGGGAAAATGTTATTTTTGACAAACATGAAGTCTGTGTGTGTTTATTGTGTTTGTGTGTTTGTGTGTGAGATGAGTGAAGGAGGAATGAAAAAGGAGCATCCTCCCACACACAGCTGCCAAATCGAACAGCAGATCCGTCCTCGGCTGCTTGTTTGGCAAGAAAGATTTCAGGCGCTTTCTTAACTTTCTTAAGAAGCTGTGTTTACATGCAGTAACTATCTGTCACACACCGGCTCAGGTCTTCAGGTTTTATCAGGTTTTCTGTGGCATTGGGTTAATGGATTGATAGCACTTCCTGAGGCTGTTTGAGCAGCGATGAGTTGCTTTCATGTTCACGGAAAACTGATGGTGGTGCTAATGATGCTGCGTGTTAGCTGTAACAGTGTGAGAGCTGGATGTGGCCATGTTAGGAAGCCTGAGGTCTTTACTGTGAATCGATTTCAACATAGCCAGGTTATCTCGATGCTATCTGAATTTACTTACCATTCAATAGTCAAAGCGTTTATTGTCATGTGTGCACAGAAAAAGCATTTCTCTGTACAATGAACAAATAGATAAAATACAAATAGCATGGATAAATAAATGGAGACCAAAAAAATTGAATTTGAAAATAGATTTATGTGCGAAACAATGGCAATCAAAATAAGCGGTGACACAGTTCATAACTTCCCTTCAACTCATTCATGTCACCTAAAAGGTAAACCTGTTTCTCCATCACCTGTTCAGCTCTGATGATTCAGTAAGGACATCTCCTGGTTTCATCTTCATGTTTCCCTCTCACCACATATCCAAACCGACATAATGATCAGCAGCTTTTACAGCTGTGGCTCCAGCAAACATCAGCTGATACTAGAAATTAATATTAAATAAATTCTAACAACAGCTGATCAAGCTTAAACGTGCTGCTGTTGTTTACCGCGACATCCGCTGGTTTCCTCTTTCTGGCGCAAAGTGGGCGATAAACAAACAAGAGAGAAAAGCCGATCAGCTGATCACTGATCACTTTCATGATTGAATGAGAGAAGAAGAGGCAGCTGTGCTCATAAAGACGCAGAATAAATCCAGCTTTGTGTCTTTTTTCATTGTAGCTGAAGTCCGGGACAAACTGTGTTCCTTTTCACCTCGATACGAAACGTGTAATATTTTCTCTGAATACGAGACGATTCCGTTTTTTAGGGGACGGGTCACGGTTGGCAACTCTACTAACTAACCTTATGAATAAAATAAAGTTCACTATCAGTAAAATCATAGCACCCACCAAGCTGTATAGAAACTCCGTCATGCTAGCCAGTACACAGTACGAGTTATTGTAACTGACGGTAAAAAGTCAGCAAAACGAAAATAAACTCCACCTAAACTTGGTTTATATCTGACCCAGATAGACTGCAGGTCATAACTTCTTACATGAAGTTCAGTTCACCTGACATTCGGACCGGCGGCTGCCTTGGGTCTCTCCTCCTCCTGCCTCCCCTCTCCCTCATCCACCTGGCCTCTTGTGGCAGCTCCGCCATAGCCACCACCAAACAACCAATCCACCACCTCTCATTGTTTATACTGTTATAAAAAAAATAAAAAATGAAACAAATCATTGGCGCATAAAAACGAAAAATCACCATCGGCCCACCGGCCAGTCCAGCTATGGTAGTAATATATAAATACACTTGTTTTTGACCTGGCGAGCTTTGACTCTGACCCTCTGCTGGCCATCAAAGGGAAGGCAGGTTTAAGGTAATTCAATGTTGGCCTCTCTCTTGACCTCTCTGTTTAGAGAGGACCTGGCGTCCACATATGTGGACATCACATTTTGGGTTGTCTAGACCAAAATACTAAATTTTGCTCTACAAGGGCCTGATATCCACTTAGGAGGACATTATACTGCCACTGTTCTATCGAGATTTACAACGAATGGCGTCTTATTTGGATCTCATTTTTCTCAGAAACAAAAAACATTAAAAAAACAAAGAACTTTTACTTTTGTACACTTTTATATTTTATAATTTTGGCATCCCATTTTAAAGTAGCCTTTTTTCTCATTTGTTGGATTTAATTTGATACGCTTTGATAGTTTCACATCTTTTTCTTTTTTTTCACTGACAAACCGACCTGGACCTTCCACCGTTTCATTGTTAGCTTGGTACAAGTAATGCTCTGAAGTAAAGGTCTAGATTCTTTGGCTTTACGCTGCTGTGATGCCTTTTGTTTCAGTGCTTTCAGCCTTTTGTTGCCTTTGTTCAGCCCTGTACAAACCACTACACTGTCTGAATTCAGCCAGAGCTGCTCAACCTGTAGGCAGATCCCAGAGGCAGCCGTTGAGCTCAGAGACCGGGAGGCCCTCACAAGTGTGAGTAATAGTTCTGAATTACAGTCACCGTCTGAAAGGCCGTCTGCGGCAGAAAGCTGCTGTGAACTCTCTGTAAAGAGTTTGAAAAACAGTGACTGGGTGTCTACCTCATGATATACTGAAGCTTAGGTGGGTGCCCACTGCTGAGCTCAACGTGGAGCTGCCATCCATCGAGTCCGGCCCGCTGGGCTGACAGAGTGTTGATAAAACTCAGACCCACAGAGAACGTCAGCGGCTGAACTGTTGTCTGATGCCAGACTTTCAGATCAAACTCCCTTAACTATTTGTTTGGTTGTTCCCATTTTTATTATGATTGAATAACAGCATGAGATACTGTATTGTTTATGCAACAATCAAACTGTGATACACGAGTGTGTGGTTTATTCCAGGATATGCAGAGGGATTAAAAGACACCCTGTGCTTCCAGTTTTTTTTCTCATGGATAAGGATCAGTGGTGCTTTGTGCAGTCAGATCCATTTTCAATCCATGTTTAGTGAGCCAGCGAGCTGCAGTCAGATGGATTTAAGGATGTTTTAAAATGTTGAGCCTTTGTTTTGCACAAAGATACACAGTTAAATATCTTACAATCTTATGTTGTGGGCTTTTTAAATGTCAGAGGGGCTGCAGACTGACTGCATGTATACTCAGGTTTGGCTTTGAAGGTGATTCCTTACAGGTTTAATGCTCCCTAAAAGAAAAGTCTTTAGAGTTTTGTTGTAAGCGAACATCTTAAACCACTGCACATTTCTAATGTTGTTTTAATATTCAGTTAGTATGTTAAAGTTTGTATAAGTAAGGACGTAATGATGAGTAATGATGATTGATTTTTTTAGCGACTGAAATAAATAAAGGAATAAATAATTTATATTATGGCTGAAATGTAAGAAAAATGCTAATGCAGTCATGAAATCAAACCAAGTTTATTCTCCAATTGGTGTTTTCAAAATGTTAAGCACTGTCCCTTCCACTGTGACCCCTGAGCACAGGTATTTAAACTGGTATTTTTTTCTCTTAAACTCTTCACTAAAGGTGCAATCGTACCCAAAAATAAAAAATAAAAAATCATGTTACATCTCGGAAAACTCGTGTTGGAAATAACTGATTGTTAGAGGCTGAAAATGTACACAAGTAAAAGCTTGATAATTATTATAATTCATTATTCACATTTAATTTCAGAAGATTTTTTTATTGAATGATGATACACAGTGAATGTTTATCATGAAGGATGGTAAACAATGAAAGGATGACATATGTGTTTAGACACTGAAAGCTGGTAGGTTATAATGATGAACCAGGGAACCAGTGAAAAGTACTCTGCAGCACACTTAGCTTAGCATAAAGTCTGGAAGCAAAAAAACAATTTCTACCCATATAAATTAAATGAACGATAAATATTGTGTTAATTAAAGATAGAGCTGGGCTGGAATAGTTTGTCCACTTTAAGGATTCGTGCTAACCCTTCTCCTAGTTTTGAACAGTTGTTACATATTTACTCATTTCTTTTCAGTTCTTGTGTTATTTCCTGTGCTTTGCCTGTTCAGAGTGAGACTGTGCAGGTAAAGTAGATGATTCAACTCTGGGCAATGTGCTGTAAGCTCCACACATGTATGCACACCACACACTTGTGGTATGCACATAAGAAACACAAACCATGCACATTGCGTACAAAAATAATAATAATGTAAATACTGCGAATCCATGTACATGTTGTAATTACTCTAAAGGCTGCTCTTGTATCAGTGTAAATGACCCTGCTACAAGTGTATGTGTATATATATGTTGTGTGTATATTTTGTATATACATACGCATACTGTTTGGACTTTGGATTAGATGGCAAACTTTCATTGTTTTTAGTAATGTACTTTTCAATGACAGTCTGACTTGAATGTAGCTTAATTTAAAAGGTAGTGAAGTTAAGCTGAAGCTCACATAACCAGCTATTGTGCATAATTGTGCAATAAAACTTTAATAAATGCAAGAAGGATGTTTCTGTGTTAATCGTCCACATCCAGCTGTCACCATCCAGTCACTGTCTGTGTCTTCTATCCGTGTTATTCCTGTCCTTCTGTGGAAGTGTGTCCGAATGCGTCTCAACATATTTAAATGTGCGGCTGTGATGTTTTTGTCTTGTGTTCCCTCCATCGCGGCGTGGCTCATTGAAACTGCATTGTCTTTCCAGGTGGCGAGCGTAACTGTGGAGTACATGAGCTGATCTGCGTCAGAAAAGGTAGGGCAGATCAGAGCTCTGGGAGGTTGACCTTTGACCCATGCACTGCACCTCCCCCTCCACCTGTCTGATCATTTATCACCACTGAAAAACATCTGTGTGTTTGTTTCTGGCTGTTTCAAGTCGCGTTTATTGTTGGTCTGCTGTACTCTTTCGTTCTGTGTGCTCACTGCTTGTTCATGGTGTTTGTAAAGCTTGTAAAAGGTGATCAGTTAGAATTATCTGATGTTGCATCTGTGATGTATAAACGCTTGTGACACAAGAAGTCGCCTTTTTATTTCTATAAAAGAATTCTTTTTTTTAACAGGTATGTTTGTGTTTGTCATAGTTAGCGTTTCCTTTATGTATGCCCAAGTTTCTAAGATGCTCCAATGTCATGATTTATGGTTTTACAGTATGCTAGCATCGTTTTGACACTGATCTAGATAAACTGTTGTCATGGCAGCCACACAGCAGTCATTATGTCACTTTTGCTGCGTACTTTCATCTGTGATGGTAGCAATTTGCAGCCAGCTTTATTTCAATTGCAGTGAACAAAAATAATGCTTGCAGAGCTGTAGCATTTTAAACATTTGATGTGTTTGCAAAGGTTAAAGCTAAAAGCTAAAATGAGATACCCAATTATGGAATAATTACCTATAAATTATAACATCCGCTTGTTGCTCTGATAACAGAAGCATTTAAATTCCATTTTTATTTAACGAATTAATTTTTTTTTAAATATGCATGACAGATTTTTTTAATTAAATAATTAAAGCATTGAAAAAAAACAATTCGCCCTTCCAGTACTCCAAGATGCCACGATAGGTTTACTTCTATTTCATATTAAGCAGTCAGCTGGTCACTCAGAAGTTCAGCTTTACCTCTAGTTAACACTTTGTTTTCATTGATCTAACACAGTTATTCACCGTAATATCACAAACAGATTGTATGTAATTGCAAACTTGACAATATTCAATTCCAAATTGATAGCAGACTGGCTCCATCTTATTTCCATTTTATTGCTGTCTCAGTGCACTAAAGCATTTTATTGTATGGGGAATGAAATGTTTAGAATAAATGCAAATAATGCTTAATTAGAATCCAAAAAATAATGTTTTGTTAAGCAACAACTATTAGATGGGATTTCAATGATACCAGATAACAAGTTACTGTAATTACATAATTGCATGTAAGGAAACACCAAAGTTAATGTTGTTATAAAGTTATTACAAATTGGTTTTCTGTTCTCTGTTCTGTTTGTCTAAAGAATTTCAGTAATGAAATTGGGCGATTATTAATGTAATCAGGGAAGTCTTCATGTGGCGAGCAATTTTAATAATCTGAAATATTTTATTTACCATGTTGGTAAAGAAGTGGCAAAAAGTCCTTGTAAAACTCTACGGTATTCAAGCGCAGGGATTTATTGTTCAGCATCTGGTGGGTGTAACCACAAGCTTTTCTTTGTTTATCTGCAGTCAGTGGTTTCTTTAAATGTAACTCACCGAAGGGAGCTACGAAACGTCAGAGCAGTGTCAGACGATAATATAAAAGTACATATATGTCGTTACACTGACTACATCATGCGTACATAAAAAATGGGAGGCAGGCCATGAAGGTTTGAGTGAAAGTATGTGTGTATTTGTTTATGACAGAATATGATGGGACGTAAAAACAGCTTCTTGAACATTAGTTTAGATTTAGTGTTGGATGGTTCAGGCTTTCAGAGATTTAGGAGGAGAACGTCAGGGTTCCCCTGTATTTTTTAGAAACAAATAATAACGGATAAGGAATAAGATGAGTTTGTAGCTGCCCAGTTTTACTCATATTTTTCTATAATTTTCATTATTAGAAAATAAAAACACTGTAGTTTGTATTCTGTAATCAAAGTTCTTGAACCAGTATTGTGCTGTAGTTATCAAAACAACAAATTACTACTTCTGCATTAATATCTTATTTGCATATGAAGAGCTTCTTTTCTTTTTTAATAATGCTTCAATGTGCTGCTTCACTTTAATTGCATTGGAAAGGTTGTTGTTGTTCTTATTAAAGGTTATTATCACTGAATGAAAATCATATTTCAAAAATATAAATTAAGGCACTTAATTTGTTGTTTAACGAATTCATCTTTTAGAGCGAAACCTCTACATGCGTCTTTTAGCGCATTTTCCACACAAGTCTTGACGTCCAGGAGACGGTTTCACAATCAGTAAGGAAGCAACCGGAAACATTAGAAATGATGAAAGCAGAGTTTGAAATGAAACTCTGAACAAACTGATAAATGAGACTTCACCCATTTAAATGTCACCTGATACCATTTGCATCTTCTTGGTGGTTCTATGAACATCATGGCTTTTGCCAACAAAGGGAAGTGACATTTAAAGGTTGGATATGACCTTTATAGTAATAGAAATCCTCACACTTGTGTCTTGGAAGAGGCTAAGGATTTAGCAGGGTGATACGTATGCTATCTACTAAGAGCTTTCACTGGATATATTTCTCTCATTTTTTATCCTTATATAACAAAGACATCAATTGATTTGGTGAAGAATATCGGAAGTGAGAGGATGTTGCAGGAAAAAAAAGAGAGAGGTGTGCACAGTGTTGCCTGAGGAAGCTCCTAAAGATCGATTACTTGGAGCCAAGAAGTGTGAAGGCTGTTTTTGTCTTTTTTGGGTTACCTAAAAGAAATCCAGGATGCTTATACCCTCCAATGCGTGGTTAACCTTAGTAATTATTTTTCACTGTCATATATTAATAACAAATCCTGCTCCTAGTCATTTCTCGGTGAGCAGACATGGTTTGTTTTCGATGCAGCTCATATATTGACGTTCCTGACTTGCCAGATTTTTTATTTATTTATTTATTTTTTTGCATTTTTACACACTAATAAATCAAGTTAACTAGAAGAGCTGTAACTTGGCATGTTCAGTGAAAGTACCGAGTACTTCTCTTTTACCACAGCATACTCATGTTCATAAAGAAAGTATTTCAAACTAAAAAATAAATATGCACAAGTGATTGCAGAAGGTCCTGATCATGATGGAGGGGGCAGCTGAGTGGTCTGCTTGTAGAACTGTGTGTGTGTGTGCGTGGGTTTAATGTGGGTTTAATCCATTTGTTTGAAACTACCACAGGTGTATGTGTTGTGTGTTTGCATGTGTGTGGCTACTCTGTGGGTAATGTGCTTCAGAGTATGTGTGGGAGTTTGCATGGGAGCGCTGAGAGTGCTTATGAGCTGCCTGTGGAGTGTGTGGGTGTCTATGTGGATTTGAGGAGGTTTGGTTCTTGATGACAGTTGGCATGTGGACAGATCCGACTTTATCCAGCAATGTCCTCTTCCTCCTCCTGGAGCATCACGTGAGATGTAGTTCATCAACTGTGTCCTTTTAGAAAACCTGACATTGTAAAATGAAAGCCGAGGACGCCTCTGGCTCTTGCTGTCATTGCATTGAATGTTAAACTATTAAAAGGCTTTTCTGGTTGTAATTCTTGGTTCCCACTGGTGTGAAATGTTGGCAGCTACAGGAGTTTTATTTTAGACGAACATGAAAACTGTTGGATCTCCCCAACCAGGGAGGTGGTTGTCATCTTTTAACTGTTTTTTGAGGAGTTGAAGCCAATTGCTTTTCTTACACTGATTAAAGCGAAATGCAATTTTCATTGTGCCTTTTCTTTTGCATTCACCAGTGACTGGAGAATCAATTTTTAATTAAATCTAATTAAATCTCTGAATTACTGCTGATACGGAGTACCCATCCAATACCAGAATTAAATTGAGCTTTACTCCTCACTCTGAGAAGGATAATGGGAGCCATTCAGTTTTGCCTGAGGCAACATGAGGCATGACTTAAACATTTCACACGACAAAATGTTAAATATGTGCATTACTCGTAAAACCTAATTTAGTTATTTTAGTAAAGCAGGATCAAGAAAAGTAAAAGAAAAACATTTTGCTCCACTCGTCACCAAAGATGGGCAGTAACGCGTTACTTGTAACGCGTTACTGTAATCTGATTACCCTTTTCAAGTAACGAGTAAAGTAAGGGATTACTATTGCAAAAACGGTAATTAGATTACCATTACTTTCCCGTTACTAAAACCGTGATTTTTTGCGAGAATGTCTCATGACAGTGACGTAAGTGAGTGCGCCGTTAGTGACAACAGCTGTCTGCAGATCAACAATGGATCACATATCGATTGTGGGAGAGAGTATGAGCGTGCAGCGTTTAAAGCGTGGAAGTACTGACCTTACTTTGAGTTTGATTCCATAAAAAGTGACAAAAACATTAGTGTCCGTTGTGCGTGGGAAGAAAACTTCTTTTTACAGCGAAAAAAACCCTTAAACATTCCAAACAAGCACCGAGTAGCTACGACGTAATGGGAAACTCACAGAGAAACTCGCGGATTCTTCAACTGACCGCGGCACACCTGCACCAGGGTAAACCTCCGCCTGCCCCACTCCTGCTTTACAGGTGAAAAAGCAACAGGACCGCTGAGTCTTTGACTTTATTTATTTTCTGCTGTGTTTTACTTGCATCTATTTGAAAGAGTGAGTGTAAACACAAAAAATATTTTATTTTATGTGCTGGAATGTGCAGAAAATAGGTTTAAATGTTAAACTAATTTATTCAAGTCAGAGAATGTTGCATATAATAAAATTTTTGCTTGATGCATAAAGTTAAAAGATTAAAACTAATAAAACAAGTTTAAAAAAGAGATTTTTTCCATTTGATTACATTTTGTATGATGGATTATGTAGAAAAAGTAGAATTGGGCTGAAAGATCTATCGCTTTATCACCTCTTCAGGTTGTAAATCGTGTTTTTAAAAAGTAACTAAGTAATTAATTACTTTTGAAAATAAGTAATCAGTAAAGTAACGGGATTACTTTTTGGGGGAAGTAATCAGTAATTAGTTACTGATTACTTTTTTCAAGTAACTTGACCAACACTGCTCGTCACACAGAAGGAGCTCTACTTTGAGCTGTTGGAGAGGGAGGACTAACTCAAACACACGCTT